GAATGTTACACCTGATGTCTTCGAAGGCTTTCTCTGGCTTCAGCAGGCGCTTATGGTTCCAGGATTTGAATCCAAGGCCTTAGGACGAGCAGTGTGTGGCCAGGGAACAAGGGCAGCTGGCAAGGGCCGGCACTGTGGTGCAGCGGGTAAAGCCACCATCTGCAGTGCCGGCATCCCATATGGGCACCGGTTCAAGTCCCGGCTGCTCCACTTCCGATCCAGCTCTCTGCTGATGTGCCTGGGAAAGCAGTGGAAGACGAACCAAGTTCGTGGGCCCCTGCACCCAGGTGGGAGACCTGAATGGAGTGCTGGGCTGCTGGCTTTGACCTGGCCCAGCCCTGGCTGTCGTGGCCATCTGGGGGAGTGAACCAGTGAGTGGACAGTCTCTTTGTCTCCAGGTTTCCCTCTCCTTCTGTCACGCGGCCACTAAAATAAATAAAGTCATTTCTTTAAAGCAGTGGCAAACAGACATTTGATAATTCCAGTCCCACCATTTACAGGAAGTGTGGCCCTGGGCGAAGTTACTGCCCTTTCTGACTTAGTCTTTTCCTCTGTCAAATGGGTGCAATCATAACTTCTCACTCACATAAAATTATTGAGCCCAAAGCCTGGTGCGGGATGCATGTGCCATACATGGCCAATGCTATCACTGGTTTGTTAAGGTTATTGATTGCTTGAGAGACAGGGAGAGAGAACTCCCATCCCTGGCTCATTCCCCAAAGGCCCACATGGACCCTGGGCTGGGCTCAGCTGAAGCCAGGAGCCAGGAACTCGGTCCAGGTCTCCCAGGGGGCGGCAGGAACCCAACCGCTTGAGCCACCATCACTGCCTGCAGGCGCGCACCAGCCGGAAGCTGGAGTCGGGAGGCAGGATGAGGATTGAATCCAGACTCTGGTGCAGGGCACCGGTGTGCTAACCAGCTTCTCATCCACCGGGCAACATGTCCACCCCCAAGGCTACTGCTTGGCGTTTATTTTAATTTTTTTTAAAAAATATTTACATATTTGAAAGAGTTACAGAGAGAGAGGGAGACACACACACACGTACACACACACACACACAGGTATCCTTTATCACTGGTTCACTCCCCAGATGGCCACAATGGCCGGGGCTGGACCAGGCCAAAGCCAGGAGCCAGGAGCTTCATACGGGCCTCCCACGTGGGTGCAGGGGCCCAAGCCCTTGGGCCATCTTCCACTGCTTTCCCAGGCCATAGCAGAGAGCTGGATCGGAAGAAAAGCAGCCGGGACTCGAACCAGCACCCGTATGGGATGCCGGCACTGCAGACGGCGGCTTAACCCACTATGCCACAGCGCTGGCCCTACTGCCTGACATCTGAAGACGACAGGCATGATTAAGGAAGCAGCTGAGGTCACAGGCAGCCTCCCCCCATCCCCAACACACCCACCCCAGACACCAGGCAGATCCACCCAAGGACCAGCATTTTCTCTGCGAGGCCACACGGGGGCAGCAGAGTCCTGCACCACACAATTCTTTCAAGGCCAGCCAGATGGCACCAGCCTGCCCCCTGGTGGCTGACGTGAGGCCGACTCACGTTCAGAGATTCTTGAACCAGGCAGCAGCTGCAAAGCAGATGTGAAAAGAACTCAAAACCGGATTTCCCTCTGGAGAGTCTGTCCTTGAGAACTGTGGGGGGCTGATGGTGAACTCGGGGGCACCGATGCTCGGAGAGTTCACGCGTGAACTGGGAGGCAAGCCGGACCTGCACTCGCTAGGGTGTCCCTTTGCGCCCCTTGGACCTCAGTTTCTCCATCTGAGAAATGGGACTGCTCTGTTGTCCCCGAATCTGGCTTTCCTGTTTGGTTTGCTTTCTCTCGACCAGAGCTCCCGCAGGCCCTGGTGCGGGCAGGGTTGGCTGCCCGAGGGTTCTGAGAACCCAGGTCCCCAGAGCCCCAGCTCCTACTGGGGTCTTCCATCTGACGGACTCTTCTCCACCAGGGAGCAGAGTTTACTTCTCTGCCTGGGGCCAAGCCCCAGCCTCAGGCCACATAGGCTGGGCCACCTCCAGGATGTCCCCCAAGCTGTGCATGGCCACCGCAGCGCCAGCCAGGACGTCCCAATGGGAGCAGCACACACTGCTTCCTCCCGATGGCCCTTGCAGAGCTAGGTCGTCCTCACAGCTGGCCCCGGGGAACTGGAAGACAGACGTCGGGTCCTGCCTCGGCCTGCGGTCCCTCAGCACGGTCCTTCTCCTGGCCGCTCCTCTCCGGCCTCATCGCCCACCTCCTCCCTGTGCAAGGGGCTGCCCACTCAGGGCCTTCTGGGAAAAACTGCCCCGGTGTGACCTCTGGGCCCGCAGTGCCCCCTGGTGGCCTGGGGCGGAAGATCACCCCAAGGAACCGGACAAGGTGTGGGGCCTGGTGGGCCATGGCAGAGAAAGGACAGGGCCTTCGCGCTGGGGAGGCGAGGGCCTTGCGAGATTTGAAGATTAAGGCGGGCCTACAAGCGTCCGCGCTCTGAGAGCGGGAAGTCGAATGGCATCCGGCCGGGTGGAGCCAAACTCGGGGGCAGCTGGCCTGGGGCGGCGCCGGCCCTGACTCTGGGGCTCTCATCAGACAGGTGCGCGAGCGCCAGCCCGGTGAGGACACTGGCTGGTCCTCGTGTTTATCACTGACAGCACTGAGAAGCCGCATGCTGAGCTCCCCGCTTCCTGCAGGGACTTCTCCTCCAGCCTCCAGCGTGGGGCCGCGGGAGAGGTGAGGTGGCCGGGGGTGGGGAGACACGCCCTGATTCTCACAGGAGCCGCGGGGACAGTCCAGCGGCCCCAGCGTCCACTTCACCTGGGGCCTCAAGGCCTGGGGTGCCCTGGGCTTGCCTGAGTGTGCACAGGAGAACCAGGGGTGCTGTCTGCCCCCCTCCCCACTTGAGGCCCCTGGGACTTG